ATATATATATATATATATATATATATTATAATATATATATATATATATATATATATATATATACATATATATATATATATATATATATATATATATATATATATATATATATTTATATATATATATATATATATATAAAGTATGAGGGGGTGTAAATCGAAAGTTTGAGGGTTGGGGGTTTAAATCAAAAAGTTTGAGGGGGGGGGGGGGCTGCAAATCGAAAGTTTGTCCCCGGGTAAAAATTTGAACCAACCCCCCCCCCCCCCCCCCCCCCATGAGACGATCCTGGCTACGCTACTGACTGGTGTAGGATACTGATTCAAATGTGCTGAACCTAATGTTTCTTTCAGGCATCTCTTCGGGGGGGGGGGGGGGAGGGGGGGGGCTCTGCTCCCCCAACCCCCTGAACGAAATAGAATTTATGTAGAAGAATAAACTTTACAATACCCCCCAACCGAAAATTTCGGGGGGGGGGGCTGTAGAATTTCTTCGGGGGGGGGGGGGGGGGGAAGGAACGCCCCCCCCCCCCCCCGAAGAGATGCCTGGAAGAAACTCTGACCCCCCCCCCTCCCCCTTAGAAAAAATCTAATAAAAGAAACACTGTTGCACATATCTACGGATTTCGAAAGATGAAGTCTGACTCTGAATTCATTACAGAGCACAAATACACAATGGGGAGGGAGAGGATGGGGTGTGTTATGTGGACCAGTTTATACCGGAAATGACATCACTGTCCCCCCTGTTCCCTCCCCGCCCCCCCCCCCCCCCCTCCACATAACCCCTGGCCACCTTGCGTGTCTCACGGTCCTGGGTCCATTCATCACCTGTGGATGCAGTGTCACGTTTCACCACTGCATCCTGTCACGCTGGCATAGCCAGGTTTTTGTCATGCCTGATCACGCGTGACAGTACGTCCATTTTTCCCCGCTACCTAACACGTTAGCGCCCAATGTTTCAAGACATTAAGTTCTTCCAGACTTTTTTTCTTAGGGGCGGGGAGGGCATTTGAAATTTCCGGGGGGGGGGGGGGGTGTGGACACTTAAAAGTATATATTTTCTATATAAATTCCATTTCGTTCGGGGGGGGGGGGGCGCTGTAGACTTTTTTCGGGAGGGGGGGGGGGTGCTAACCTTAAGGGGTTTCGAACGCGGTAGAAAAAAGTTTATTTTGAGCTGCATTACTATTCATTCATTGTCAAGTTGAGAAAATAGACTGTTACTTGTCTTTACGGTCTTATTTAACTGTTTCCTACATCAATTATGTGACAACAACATAAAAACTTTAAGGGGTAGTGGCTGGTAAAACGCAACTTCGAATTTTCCTTATTGGGGTGGGGGGCGCTTTTTTGCTTGCATGTGATATAATTGTTTAGCCCGATACACTTTCATTAAAGGCGCCAATTGCAGCTTAATCCGCCCCTCACCCAGTAGCGTAGCGAGGGGGGGGGGCATATGTCCCCGGGCGCCGACCTTAGGGGGCGCCAAAATGGGTTGGAAAAATAAATTAAAAGGTTGAGGGGGGTGCAAATCGAAAGTTTGAGGGGAAGGGGGTGCAAATCGGAATCTTGAGGGGGGGGGGGGGGGGGCTGCAATTCGAAAAGTTTGGCGCCGGGAAGGGTCGCTACGTCTCTGCCCTCACCACAAAGCTATTGAAATTCTCAAAGCTTTATAACACACTGGCAGGACCGACACCCGCCCGCCCGTTTCTAAAGGCAGTCGTGTATATCTTGAAGCAGTATAGTCTGGTGTTATCGTGCTAACCACCGATAAGACACAGTAGCCAAAAGAAGAAAAAAAAAGTAGCTACTTTGTAAAGGAGAACACATTACAAAATGTAAACCATGACACATTTCACGGGCTTTTCATAGAGGTAAACGCACTATTTTTGATACCCCCCCCCAATACACATGCTCTTATCTTCATAGAAGACGTGTTGTTTTGTCGCTTTTGCTTCTAACAGTTTAATGAAGTCAGAATGGTGTTTGCAGTTTCTTGCTAACGAGAACCATATTTATTTTTAGCGTTGTATTCATTTCACGCTTCGTATTTGTTTTGTCACGTTGGGCCGATCGTATACAAGACAGTAGAAGAAACAACGAGAGCCTTTATTGGATTAATTTGGCTTTTCTATCTGTCAGCATATTGATGTTATACTGCAGATAAGTTGGACAGTTATATATATATATATATATATATATATATATATATATATATATATATATATATATATATATATATATATATATATGCAAGGTATGCTGGATGCTGGTGAGTTTACACAGGATATACTGAATGGTAGTTGTGAGTACGATTGATATCTGAATGCGGTTTTTTAGAGAGGCAATAAAAAAGATGTAGAACGGCGGCTGTAGTTGAAACGAATATGCACCCTCTTTACTTTACTATAGATCTGCAACTTTTGGAAATGTTCATATCCGCAGTGTTTCTTTGAGACATCTCTAGAGGGGAGGTGGGGGGGGGGGGCGGAGCAAGTCTACCACCCCCACCCCTACCGAACGAAATAGAAAAAAAACATTTATGTAGAAAATATATACTTTTATCAGTGTCTGCCCCCCCCCCCCCACTTGGAACTTTTATAATGACGCGTGGGACAATTTTCAATATGGGGTAGGTTCAGGTGGAAAAAAATGGGGAAGGGAAGTGGTAAACCCCCATTACTATATTTACTACTGGTCTGGTCTACGCCAGTGATAAGCACCATCTCTTTGTAGATCTTTGTGCACGTTTACTAATAGGTCTATATATCCAGTTAGGCGATTTTCCCCAAGATATTTCCATTATTTTGGGCCTGTCGAAGGCTTCTTTTTAGACTTTAAAGTTTAAAGTGAATTAAAATGTCTTTTCTTTCGTTATTATTAACTTAGTAGACTATCATAAAATTGTTCATTTAAAAATTAAACTACTCTACACCAACTAATCCCACTGAGGAACTGCTACTTTGCCTCAATGAGGAAAATGTCCGACAATTTTTAATTATTATTAGTTCTAAACCGGGTTTAGAATTAATTTGTAACATTAAATTAGGCCTGTCAAGGTTAACGCCCTGTCTTCATAATCACACGCCAGGCCTATTTTTGGAACAGCTGGGTTACCGGTGCATGTTTTTAATGAACATCATTTTTGTTTACTTTTTTGAACGACTGGATGCGACGACAGGTAAGGTTCCTCATAAATCAAAAGACAGTTCTGTTTCTATTCATAATTAATTAGCTAGTATTGTAGCCAGACATATCTAGGCCAACAATACAGGATTACTTGATTGATAATCTAAATCTAGATTTAGATGTAGACCACTCTAAAAGGTGTCTAGATCAAGAACTAGATCTAGAATCTAGTAGATCTAGATCTAGATCTAGATCTAGACTTGTCTAGAGTCTAGAGTAGTCTAGACTAGAGTCTAGATTCTAGTAGTCTAGATCTAGTAGTAGTACTGTAGTCTAGTACTTAAGAGTAGAACCAGAGTCTGAGAGCACACACAACAGTTCAAAACACTCACTGTGAGTCACTGAGTAAAATCACTACAGTACTACAAGCTAGACTAGATCTAGAATAGATCTAGATCTAGATCTAGATCTAGTACTTCACTACACACTACACTTAGTTGTGGATGAGTGGTGAACAGTACAGTTACACAGTAGTACAGTGACCAGCAGTGTCTACAGACCCAGTCTACAGTTATTCGATCTAGACCTCTAGATCTAGTATTACTGTACTCAACTGTACTGGTACTGTACTACAGACTCTACACCAAGTACACTCAGTTACTCAGGAGTTAGTGGTAAAACTCCATTTAAAGTACTAAGTAAAGTACATACTATTTATTTACTTACTTAGTACTTGTCTACTACTCTAATTGCGCTGTATTGCTGAAATCTGGACGTTTATTAATATGTATGATATGTATTATAATGCCCTAAGATAGAGACGTCTATAGTCTATAGACTTTGAAGTGGACCAAAAATCAAAACATGATGCGCCGACCGCTGTCCGACTGAGCCGCTCGGCTGTGCTTCGAATCGCCCTCTTTAAACAGACGGCACGTTAAAATATTTTTATACACGAATCGAATTTACGTACTACAACAGTGAAACCTGGCAGAAATACAGATTAGATGATTAGATGTAGACGTATACAGCGCAGGGTTCATTGTCAAATTGTGTTAAATACTTTCAGAGATATCGTACAGCAAAGTTGAAACAAGTTTCCCGGGTTAGTTAAAGACCGATTTATTGAATTTATTAAAACAGTTTTCTAAAACACGAAATAGCGTCTAAAATTCGTTTTCCAACATTGCTTTTTTATAATGCAAAAGTGTGACGTCGCAACATCTGAACCCCCCTCCCCCTCGTCACACACCATCACAAAATTACTGACCCCCTTCCCCTTGTGAGTGTGACATCATTTATGTACGACCAATTACTCTTAATGGATTATATTTAGAATTGAGCTTTGAATTCCGGACAGATCGTGTGCCCCCTCCCCCCCCCCCCCCCCCCCGCGTGGCTTCAACCAACCGACGGGCTTGTTGCATTGAGTTAAATATAAACTCAAAACAATAATATAAACAATCTACTTTTTACTTAACTATCTAGATCTAGTTTCTTCTAGATTAATAAGAGAGAAAAAACAATTGCACTTCTGTACCCCCAAATTCACAGCATCTAGATTGGGGAGGGGGGGGGACTCACAGTACACCAGAGTTATGTAGGCAAATCCTAGTACTTACTGCTAGATTCTAGTAATAACTAGTCTAACCCTTTCTGATATGTTTTCTGGTGTTTTGTCCAAAAAATTATTCCATGAATTGAAGATGATGTTGTGGGTGTCCTGACATGGTATACAAGTTTCATGTCCATTGGTCAAGCATGACATTAATTATGACGTGTCGCGATAGAGAAAAATGTCAGTACAACTTTATTTATAACATGCAATTTGGGGTTGGTATTAACTTAGTACTTGGGGTGCTTTCTTCTATTAAAAGTGTAAGTTGAGAACCTCAGTTATTTCAATATCACCTGTAGCGTCCTGCAGTTTCCTTGGAGTTGACAGGCATAACTCCTTGACATGACAGCTTACCTGTGGCCATGACAGATGACCTGTGTAGAAACGTCGCCCCCATCCGCCAGCTGTATTTAGGATAAGCCTGCTTGATGTACGATGCCTGTTTCACTTGACAATTTCCTTCTCTAAATTGTTTTCTTCATTAACCTTGGAGGGGTGACATTGTCTTTGATTCTATCAACAGGGTCCTGATGTGGATTTCAATTTCGCCTTTGTTGTGATTTGCAGGCTTCAGGATATAGATGATGTGTCTCATTCTCATCTAGTTTAAACATTTTTGTAAGTATTGATCTTTTGCCATGAGATTTAACCTTTAACCAGTTTTAATACTATATATTTTTAATCTTTACACTTATTATATTTGGAGCTGAGTGTTTTCATTGTTGTAAAATTATGATAACACTTATGATGGTTTGTGGAATTAAATAAAATTAATAAAAATGTAGTCTATGTCAAGGATAAATTTTATAATGGGCTGAATAAGTTGCCTCATGGGGACTTTTTTAAAAAAGAGAGAAAAGTTAGGAATATCAGTGAGCTATATGGCTGTACTTCAATAGAAAGCTCATACTTATACGTGTGTACAAAGGAAGATATGTGAACTTCATATTTTTAGGCCACCCAACTTCAGAATTTCTGTGCATCTTTGACATGGTGTTGCTTCTCAAAGCCATAATGAAAATACTTTGTATTGTTGAGTTGATACACAGCTTCTTTTATAATTAAGATAAATTAAAGTTTGATTTTGAAGGACAGCCTGGCCTGGCAGCATAGCGCTAGACTTCATACTTGAAAACCTCAAGTTCAAATATGAGTTTCAGTCAGTAGAATGTCCCTTAGTCCATCCACAACTGATGGGTACCTAACTCATGTTAGGGAAAGTAAAGGCAGCTGGGCGTAGTGTAGCTCACATTATCCCTTCATATGCCTAAGTCAATAAACATATGAACTCTACTTTATCTGCCCAGTGGATCACTAGATCTAAAGAAGAATCTTTTTTCTTTCCTTAAGTTTGATTTACCTAAATGCTTTATATTTAAAGTACTTTTTTACCCTTGCATAAAGTACAAGCTAAAAATAAAATTTCTTTATTATGGGAATGTTGTAGTAGAGGGCACTACCCCCTAAAGTAATTGCTCGTGACTGTAGTACATCCTGGGTCCAAATACACTTAATTGGCCCCCGACTTAAGTAGACTGTATAGGTGACAGGATGTACTACTGGCTGCCTTTTCATTTTTACAACTGAAACAGATAAACTCTACCGTATCTGCTCCGTGTACCATCATATTCTTTACTTTTTTTTTGCTTTCTATTTTCTTTTTATATGATACCTAGGCTACATTTCCCTGCTCATTAACGGCATCTTCTAAACTCTTTGAAGAGTGCATACAAACCATAGTCCATACCTCACAGTGGAGTTTGTTGACACAAAACACAACACTTTGATTGATGGTGTAGTGAAGATATTCACATTATATATGCACTGGTTTGAAGTGGTTTGGTTCAATTTCAAGGTCATTGAACTTATCTTTACACCTTGAATCATCCATGCGTTAAGGCACCTTTCAAGTCATTCACCTGCAGTGTTCCCTCTAAGCTGCGTGGCTGTGCGGCCACGCAGTAGTTTTGAACCTGCCACGCAGTCCTTTTGTAAAATACATATAACCTTTTATAAGACTTTTAGAACACCGCACACACAAAATACAAGTTGCACACAAGCCTTTTCCCCTTAGAGGGAACGTTTTTCACCTGCACTCTGGTTTTATGGACACGTGTCTGTCACTACCTTTTATCCCGTGTGTAAATTAGCACTACCTGTTATCCTGTGTTTATGTTTGGAGTAGTTCAGAACTTTCAAACTGTCCAATGTTTTGCTTTAACTAATTGCGTTTTTGTACTTTGTTGTTATTTTAAATTCTAGGATTGAAGCATCCAGTTGAGTTGAGTTTAAGAAGAGAAATCTGCATTTAAATATTGTGGTCTATTTTAAAATTATTTTTAGAATTTAAAATAAAATAGGTTTCATTAAATATTGTTATAAAATATTTTAACTTTCTATATTTTTGTCAATAGGCCTAATTCTTTTCTTTTGTAAAAAAAAAAAAATTTTAAAAAGGCTCAAAATTTTTGCCTTCAAAAATGATTGTCTCATCTCAATGGTTTTAAATTATGTAACTAATTTACTAATAGATTGTAGAAAAAATTATTTTCAGTTAACATTAATTTCATGAATCGTATAATTAAATGTTTTTTTTCTTGTTCTTTTGAGTTTTTAATTACAATTAAGTTTTTTTTTTAATTTACAAAATGTTATTTTTAAGTTTTATCAACCTGAATTTTCATGTCATCTTTCCAGGTTTTGACCAATCAGAATGAAGCCAGAAAAAGGAAACGAAACCTCGTCCAATGGATTTGATCGCAACCACATTGAATTTGAGATTGTAGATAGCCTTGTACCTGCGGATTCTGAAAAAAAATGCATCCAGCTCCGTTCCTGTCTCAGCTCTTGCACGAGGCCGTGCCTGGCAGAAACGTACCCCCTCCCCCCTGGCGCTGCCTGTCCTCGCAGGTGTTTAGACAACTTCCTCTGTCCCCCTCACTCCCGCATGGGTGCTGTCATGTTCATGGTGCTCGTGGCACTGGCCATATGGGCTGCCCTGTTCTCTTTGACGGGCGACCAGGCCCTGCCTAAAGGCAACCTGTTTTCCCTTTTTGTCCTGTTTGTAGCCTGCTGGTGTGGAGGCTATGTGGTCAAGCTGATCAAACTGCCACCTTTGTTAGGTAAGCTTTCATGTTGTGGTCAAGCTGATCAAACTGCCACCTTTGTTAGGTAAGCTTTCATGTTGTGGTCAAGCTGATCAAACTGCCACCTTTGTTAGGTAAGCTTTCATGTTGTGGTCAAGCTGATCAAACTGCCACCTTTGTTAGGTAAGCTTTCATGTTGTGGTCAAGCTGATCAAACTGCCACCTTTGTTAGGTAAGCTTTCATGTTGTGGTCAAGCTGATCAAACTGCCACCTTTGTTAGGTAAGCTTTCATGTTGTGGTCAAGCTGATCAAACTGCCACCTTTGTTAGGTAAGCTTTCATGTTGTGGTCAAGCTGATCAAACTGCCACCTTTGTTAGGTAAGCTTTCATGTTGTGGTCAAGCTGATCAAACTGCCACCTTTGTTAGGTAAGCTTTCATGTTGTGGTCAAGCTGATCAGACTGCCACCTTTGTTAGGTAAGCTTTTATCTTGTGGTCAAGCTGATCAAACTGCCACCTTTGTTGGGTAAGCTTTCATGTTGTGGTCAAGCTGATCAAACTGCCACCTTTGTTAGGTAAGCTTTCATGTTGTGGTCAAGCTGATCAAACTGCCACCTTTGTTAGGTAAGCTTTCATGTTGTGGTCAAGCTGATCAGACTGCCACCTTTGTTAGGTAAGCTTTCATGTTGTGGTCAAGCTGATCAAACTGCCACCTTTGTTAGGTAAGCTTTCATGTTGTGGTCAAGCTGATCAAACTGCCACCTTTGTTAGGTAAGCTTTCATGTTGTGGTCAAGCTGATCAAACTGCCACCTTTGTTAGGTAAGCTTTCATGTTGTGGTCAAGCTGATCAGACTGCCACCTTTGTTAGCTAAGCTTTCATGTTGTGGTCAAGCTGATCAAACTGCCACCTTTGTCAGGTAAGCTTTCATGTTGTGGTCAAGCTGATCAAACTGCCACCTTTGTTAGGTAAGCTTTCATGTTGTGGTCAAAACTTTTCATTAGTTGTTTTCTTCTTCTTCTTCGTTCTTAATTTTTACTGTTGTAAGGGATGGAGTCTTATCTGCCAGAGGGTTTGAACTCGAGACTTATCGAATTTATCAACCATGAGCTTTTGCCGACTCGAACATGCTTCCATCACAATTAAGGATACATGTCAACTGGTTATGCGCCATTGAGGCCATTGACTCCGATTTCTGCCTGCTTTTCTTTTTGGATTTGCTTCCATAGCCTTTGTCCAACCAAAAACAAACTACGAGGCAGCAGTTGTTTCATTTTGGAGTTGTCTCTTCTAAAAGAGTGGCTGTCTCCAGCTAACAAGTCTCATCTGCCCGAGCTGCTTTCTAATTTCTCATTAAATACTACATAAATAAAGTTAATAATTAAATGCAAGCTTTCTATCATTACACCGGGATATGTTTATAATCAGTTATTTATAAATAAAGCTTAGTTAGATCTGCCTTTTTGTTTCTAACATTGATTATAGCTTACACTGATTGATTTTTTTTGTGTACGATGACAAAAAGTTATTTTAAAACTATTTGCTGGCTTTTATTTAAAGTGTTTCTTAGAAAAATGATTTTAATTCAGTCAACGATTGTTATGCTCAAGTAAATGGCTAATTTGAGTGTAGGTTTGTTATATTCTAGTTACTTACTGATTTGACTGAAGGCTTGTTATGTTGTAGTAATGTACTGATTTGATTGGCTTGCAGGTATGCTTCTTGTTGGAGGTGTGCTAGGTAATGCACCATACATCAATGTGGCTAAAGACATCAATGCTACCTGGCTGTTTAGCTTGAGGTAGGCATTCATACTTTTTTTATTTACGTGATCACAATTGTAATACATAAAAAAAATTGGCATTGCTTCATTTGATTTTAAAAACTTCTTTAATTTAATTAAAGGCTCGTGATAAAGGCAATAATTTGTTTAAACAACAAATAAACCTTTACAGGGAGATTATGGGATTGAGTGGTCTAGCAGTAGAGAGCTGGACTGCTAACCTGTAAGTCTCGAGTTCAAATCCGGGTTCAAGTCAGTAGACCGTCCCAGTGTCCACCCAACTCTGATGGGTACCTAACTCATGTTAGGGAAAGTAAAGGCGGCTGGGCATAGTGCTGACCACATTATCTCTTCATATGCCGAGGTCACAGAAACAAGTGAACTCTAACTCACTTTCTCTATAGACCATCAGGTTTGAAAATGGAACTGTTTTTTACTTTTACAGGCAGATTGCGCTGACCATCATACTGACCCGCGCTGGACTTGGCCTGGATCCAAAGGCTCTGCGGCGCCTGTCCTTTGTTGTGGTCAGGCTGGCCTTTCTTCCCTGCCTGGCCGAGACTATTGTGGATGGGATAGCCAGCCATCTTATACTGGGGTTTCCTTGGCCCTGGGGCTTCATGCTGGGGTGAGTGTTGGACTTAGATTTGCAGTTGAATATTGGCTCTTATTCAGATGTGAAAATTTTAAAGTAACTGTACTTGTGATGGGTACCTGAGTGAAGTCAGGCTATGTGAATGGGACTGGGTTAGAGCACTGTTGTTATGATGTGTGTTTTATCAAGGTATTTTGGTGCGAATGAATCTTGGTGCAATGTATATTGAATGTATAAAATTATGTAGGAACTGTCTTGCTGTGGTGTAGAAATTAGTTAGCTCTGTCTAGGCTTTTGATGTGCGAGGTTGTCCCTTCTTGATATTCTTGGTTTGAGAAGTCTAACCTAGTTAGTGTAAGTCAATGTGTCTTCTAAGTCTAATATTAACATATGTGTTATATGTGTATAACTCAACACAAAGAGTCAACCAATGAGTGAATAAACTTCAGATAACATACTCGAATCTTGTCTAGTGAATGTCCGTATGGAACATGTCAGTGTACTGCAGGTTAAGTGAGAACCCTCCGAACATAACAGCTTATTCCCTCAAGTATTTAGGTCACTGAAAGCAGTGAACTGTTCTTCATCTGCCCTATCAGAACTTCTAGTCTGAAATTGTAATTTAAAAAAAATAATTTTACCATGGTGTGAAGGTCTAACTTAAACCAGTGCATGTCAATTATTCCATTTGGATTTCCTTGCTTACTTAAACCAGGACCTATATATTATGAAAGTCTGACTTCAACTAGTGCATGTCAATAAGTCCTATATTTCCTTGCTTACTTAAACCAGAACCAATATTGTAAAGATCTAATTTAAACCAGTGTGAAGATTTAACTCTAACCAGTGCATGCCAACTACTCCAATTGTATTTCCTCCCCTCAGGTTTGTGATTGCGGCCGTCTCCCCTGCTGTCATTGTCCCATCCCTCCTGGGACTGGGGGAGAAAGGCTACGGGGTGGAGAAGGGGATCCCCACCCTGGTGATAGCTGCGGCCAGTATAGACGATGTGCTGGCCATCACAGGGTTTGGGGTCCTCTTGGGAATTACTTTCTCCACTGGTGAGTCTAAGCTTTAATAGTTTTTGTTGGAGTAAGTAAAGTTAAGCTCTCTTTAGAACCTTACTGTCCATGTGGCAAGTGAAGTAGAGTTCACCTGTTTCTGTGATCTCATGATAGTGATAGTGTGGTCTGCATTTTGTTCTGTCACCTTTACTTTCATTTAACATATGTCAGGTATCCATTTAGAGCTAGGTGGACTCAAGGAGTTTTTATGGACTTGAACTCCGATTCAATTCGAGACTTTTGGGTTTGCAGTATACTCCACCATTCAACAACGCCATAGTTTTTGTATTAAAGATATTTATTTTTTTATTTCTCATTTTAAGAAGATAGTTGTTTTATAACAAAATTGAATGAATGCTGATTAATTGTTAATTTAATTGTTAAAAAATGTACAGAGAGTTATTGGTTAAATCGATAAATGAATAACCACTAATAATTTAACTGTTAATATTAAAAAATTATGGGCATTACCCATTCGTTCCCTTGTTAAATGTGAAATGATTCAATTTTTTTTTATTTCTCCACTTGTAGGTGATATTGTATGGACTTTGTTTAAAGGGCCGTTAGAGGTTATAGCTGGTACACTGTTTGGTATTGTTGGAGGGGTCATTCTGTGGTACATTCCACAGAAATCAAGTGTGAGTATTCAGTGTGAACTTGTTGAACCATTGTGTAGTTGGTCAAAGATAAATAGCTGACAGGGTCTGGTTTAAACACAAGACAACATCATTGCATGAGACAAATGCTTTTTTTATTATTATCAATCATTTTGGAGACATAAATCTTTTTGGATGCATGACGTATATAATGTATGTTTTTTTTAAGATACGTGAATTAGTGTAGTATGAGACATTTTTTTATTAACTATAGACCTTCTTAGAGACATGACATAAGCATAGTATGTGTTGCTTGTTTTTACTAAACTGTACATTATTTTAGACACAGGAATAAGCATAGTATGAGGCTTGTTTTTTAATAGACTATGTTATCTTTGATAAATGACATAAGCAGATTATGTGATACTTTTTTTTCTACAATAAATTATTTTTGATACAGAAATTAGCATAGTATGAGACATGTTTTTTATAACTATATATAAATCTTCTTTGATTTGTGACATAATCATTGTATGTAAGGTATGTATTTTATAAACTAGATACGTGAAATAAGCATTGTATTTGTTGTATGTATTTTATAAACTAAATCTCTTTGTACAATGATCTTCATAGATATGTGAAATAAGCATTGTATTTGTTGTATGTATTTTATAAACTAAATCTCTTTGTACCACCAGAAACATTTGGTTTTATTCCGGGCCACCCTGCTGTTGGCGTTGGGTCTGGTTGGAATATTTGGCAGTATCAAGCTGCACTGGTCAGGTGCTGGACCTCTGGCCGCTCTCACCTTGCCATTTGTTGCTGCCCTCAGGTGGAGGTCAGAGTTCAAAGAAGGAGAAGAGGTGAGCTTTCTTTTTTGTTCTTTTTTCACTATCTTTTTTTTTTTCTGACATTTTAGAAAAATTTTCTTTAATTTTTTTTAAAGCAACCAAAAAGTTGGCATATTTGTCCACAGTAAAACCTAACAAAATAAGTACTGCACTATTTTTGCTGTTATTTCTTGTGACTTAGTAAAGTATTTCTATGAATCTTAAGACTGAACTTAACATTCAAGCTGGGTGTGAAGTCTGACAACAAAATCTCTATACAAAGCGACAATATTTAATTTTACTAATGGTGAAAAATCTCAACTGTCTGGCATTTAATTTTTTTTATAAAAACAAATATGGTGTAATTCTTTATGTGTAACAGTACCAACCAATATTTGTCATTTCAGAACCCTCTTGAAAGAGTTGTGGGTGTTTTGTGGATGATTTTTCAACCCTTTCTGTTTGGTCTCATTGGCGCAGAGGTTGATCTTTCCAACTTGGATGCAGATATAATTGGTAATTTAAAAAAAAAAATTGTCTGCTCATAAAATAGTTTTTTTTTATTCTCAAGCCAGGACCCTCCCCCTTCCACCCCTACCCATCTCAGCTTTTGTGTATTAAAAACATTATAACATTGTAACATGAGAAGAGGTAGGAACTGGAGCTTGTACTGCAGACCTTAACAATGCTAGAGAGCAGAGACAATACACTTGAAAATACATGCCAAAATAATTTTTTTTTAAATAAAAAAAAAACAAAAAGAAGTAAAGTACCTTTTAGAATCTGATGTTCCATGCAGCGGGTGAAGTAGAGTTCACCTTATCATAAAAAGGGGTAGTGTGGTCAGCACAATGTCCTGCTACCTTTACTTCCCCTTACCCCATCGGGGCTATTGTGGACTCGGGGATATTCTACTGACTCTGATGCTAACCTTGAATTCGAACTTGAGACTTTTGTTTGTATGATCTATCTTACTAGCACACCTTACCACTATCGGATACTTATTTGTTATTGGGCTTTCTATTTTAGATTCAGCTAACATTTTTTGATTGATAATATACTTATTTATTTTCTTTATACTATTTTTTTTTTAAAAACTTGCAATTTATTTATCCATGTAGGACTTGGCATTGGAGCTTTGTTTATAGGCCTGGTAGTGAGGATATGTGTGTCCTTCTTGTCTGTGTTCTTCACAAATCTCAACATGAAGGAGAGATTGTTTGTGGCTGTTGCTTGGCTACCAAAGGCCACAGTGCAGGTAACTCATGTCAAATAGTTTTCTCCCTTTTATGCTTGTCTCACTTTAAAGATTTTATTATAATTTTATTCCTTTTTGTGCTTATCTCACTTTTATAGTGTTTTAAAGAAGTAGCATCTCTCCGTTTTCAGCAAAGATAAATCCCACCATTAAATAAAAGAATAGTCAACAAATTAAGTAATTCATAACTGGGCAATAAACTGATTAGTTCCCTTATCTCCCCTGACCATTGGATTTACAGATTTTACTTTCAAATCACCTCCTTAGAAAGTTGTAGTTCTAACTACAATTTTCAAAAATGTTCACAATAATGGCTTCAAAGTTTTGTTCCTTAAACTCTTCTATATAAGGCCTTTGTGTTATGGAATTCAGAGACATTTAGCCATAATTCTTGTTTAACCATGATTGCAGTGGATTAAAATTGGGAATAAAACTTGAAAAAAGAACTATTATTGAAGTTGGATTAGTCTAGTTTTGGAGAAGCAATATATTAAAAATGTAATACTTTAGTAAGAAATTTCAAGTATTAAAAATCATAATTAACTGTTTACTGTTATAATTAATTAAATGAATAACCATTTCCAGGCTGCCATAGGTACTATAGCATATGACCTGGCCAAGAAAAAGGAAGATGAAGTGTTGCAAGGTTATGGGAAGCAGGTCAGTTGTTTTAAAAGTTAATCTTCTAGAATTTTAATATTTGACTTTAATATTTAACTTGAATCTTGAAGCAGCAGATGTAGTTGTTACAAAACTAATTTTAAAAAATCTCTGAATGTCTCCCTTTTAATGTTAAAAATCCAGCACTTGGCAGTATTGTGCTATTGACAGTAATGTGCTATTGACAGTGTTGTGCTATTGGCAGTATTGTGCTATTGACAGTATTGTGCTATTGACAGTGTTGTGCTATTGACAGTGTTGTGCTATTGACAGTATTGTGCTATTGACAGTATTGTACTATTGACAGTATTGTGCTAGCAACAGTATTGTGCTATCAACAGTATTGTACTATTGACAGTATTGCGCTGTTGACAGCATTGTGCTATTGACAGTATTGTTCTATTAACAGTATTGTGCTATGTATTGACAGTATTGTGCTATTGACAGTATTGTGCTACTGACAGTATTGTGCTATTGACAGCATTGTGCTATTGACAGCATTGTGCTATTGACAGTATTGTGCTATTGACAGTATTGTGCTATTGACATTATTGTGCTATTGACAGTGTTGTGCTATTGACAGTCTTGTGCTACTGACAGTCTTGTGCTACTGACCATATTGTGCTATTGACCATATTGTGCTATTGACCATATTGTGCTATTGACCATATTGTGCTATTGACAGTATTGTGCTATCAACAGTATTTTGCTATTTACAGTATTGTGCTACTGACAGTATTGTGCTATGTTTTATGCAGGTTCTGAACCTGGCTGTGCTGGCCATACTGATCACTGCGCCACTCGGATCATTTCTGATATCAATTCTGGGACCTCTGTTGCTGGACCGTCCAACACTGCAGGACATTGAGCTGAACTGTCCGAAGGAGAATGAAAATGAAGTAAACAAACCATTGAAAAGGGAAGAAGAAGAAGAAGATGAGGATGCTGATGTGGGAGTTTAAGAAGTTGATAAATTAGAGCAAAAATCTCATTGGATAATGACATCACTGGTTAATGACATCATTAATTAATTAATTAATTGGTTAATTGCACCACATTCTGAAGTGGTACTATCTCAAGATGAGTGGGTTTTTATAATTGATTATAGTAGCTCCACAATAAAAACTGATATCTTCACTTAGCAACAGTAACATATCAGTGAAAGAGAATAATTTATTTTATTAAACTTGTAAGGGTATAGTACAAAGCAATTCTCTACAAGGTAGTGTTTACATTTTTTAAACAAATAATTTAATTGTTACATTATCAGGGAAAAAGACTAATGGTCTTCTGTACATAAATAACTTCTGGAGTTAATTTATAACCATTATTTTGTTTTGATTTAAATAAAATGATTAAATAAAAAAAATTTTTTTTAAATAAAAATGATTCTCTGTAAGCAGTTTCACATTGTATCTTCCAGGGAGGTAACTCTCAATTAGCAATAATAGCATGTATAATAACTAAGCCAATTAACAAACAAGTCAATGTTTTTTGGTTATAACATTTATATAACAAAGCCAACTAGCAAATAAGGCCATGTTTTATTTGTTTGTATATAACGTTTACGCTTCATTCTTTTAATTTATGCACATATCATTACTGGCATTGTGATTTTTTTCATTCCAACCTACAGTGTCAACCTACAGTGTAATGTAAATAAGTTGTTTTAATTTTTATGGTAAAACTAGAACAACAGCTGGTATTTATAACATTTTTGTTGTTGTTCTTAAAAAGAAGTGTAGACTTGTAATGTATACTGACAAAATGTTTTATTCATATTAATATTATCTAAATGTGTAGCATATTTTCTGTATTTTTAAATTGTTAATTTTAACATATTTAATATAATCTTATGTTATTCAGAAGAAGTTTATGAAAAAAACAATCCAAGGATATAAAGTTGCGCTCCTAACATAAACTAGTCAAGTAGTATTTATTAAGTTAATAAAAAAAACACTTAATAATATCTGTCCTAGGCAGGGGATCAATGCCCAGATTTCCTCGAGTTAACTCCCCTGTGGTGATCTTGACTCTTATTGTAGAGTTAACTTGGCAAGGTGATGATTACACAATGAAGCTGGGGGGAAGAAAACTCCTCTAACTTCACTGACCTCATGCTATACAGGACAATAATTGGTTTTCTGTACTTTAATCGAGCCTTGCCTCTGAACATCAGTGGTCACAGAATTTACTTTACACTGAGAACTGGGATTTCAGTGTTGGCTTGTGGTGACTAGATGGGTTATTTGCCCCTCACCTTTTTTTAAGTCGGTGTAATATTGGTTTTAAAAAAACTTTTAAAATGTTATACAAACCAGGGATAAAGAATACATATTGAATTTGCAAGGTAAATTATAATTGGTTGTCAATTACTCTAATTTATTGTCCAAATCACAATTTTAAAACCGAACTTTCTTTGAATGTTAACAGTATTACAATAAGATTATCTTTGTTATTTTATGTTCATTATTTTTAACAAAATGTAATGAACTAAATATTTTAAAAAAAATTAATGTGGTACTCTCTGAACTTGTGAACTACTACTAGTCACTCATGTTCAACATGTGTAAATTATCTCATATAGCATGTTCCGAGTTAAATATTTATTCAAACCATTGGTTTACTCATATTTAACTTATATAAAACATAAATTATTCTTATTTTACTAGCAAATATAATTTTTTTCAATAACTTTCCTCCCTGTTGATAACTATCTTGTCAGAGAGTATAGGCATATAAAACCAAGGGAAGTAACTGCTTGGTGACAATACTGACCACATCTAGAGTATTTAATTTAAGCCCTAAGTTTTACTATTTTAGGATAAGAATTACATTAGTTATATTTTTTGTATAAGAAAATGCACATCATTGTTTTTGTATAATATTCTAAACAAGTTATTATGGAAATTGAATAACTCCATTTATTTATTGTATTAATGTGTGTTGTGAGAATATAAGAATTTTTTTCTTGTTTTCCAACAATACTAATCTTTGACAATTGACTTTTTGTATTACAATTAGTCGTCTATATCTTATTTACTGGCTTAACTTTTAATATGCTAGTCCTGTCCTTTGTTAAATTATTTTTATTTGCAATTGTCCATTTGTTTTTATTTCGTAAAGATTTATCAAACTGTATAAAAATTTGGTCCCCTCTGCCCAGTGTTATCCTCAATCACTCATACAATTGTCACTTAACACAGAGTAGCATTTTTGTTAATTTTATTGATCATCCGTTATTATGATTTCAACACATATGGCAAACAATTCTCCATGACCATATTTGATTCAGAGCTCATTACAGTTCATTAAAAAAGATGAGAAAATCAAATTTTTAGAATAGCAATTTTGTTTTTTACAGATGTTAATGTCATGGTTATAAAAAAAACATAGCTGTAAATATTCTTAAACAAAATTTTAACATATAATAAAACTAATATAGTATTATTATAAAAAACATCTTGTAAATATTTTACATTTTTTTTCTTCTCAAAATTTGTATTTATATTACTGTATGGTGAGTTTCAATCTCAAAACAAACTATTTTGTTAACTCTGCTCTCATTGTCATGGGTCAACCATATCACATATGGTCTATATGTGGTCTATATGTTTTACATATCACAAAACTTATGTACATATATACAGACAGCAAAGAGTTCCTCATAGGAAAGACAAGCCACCAAATTGTTAATGTGACTCCATCCCAATTTTAAACTTTAAAAAATTGGATAATTATGTACTGTAGACTGTCAATCACAATACTATTTGTATGTACATTGATGTTTGCCAGGTGTTACCATTTTAGAATATAATAAATATTTGAAAACAAAGTGAGATCAAAAAGCAAATTGTATAGAACAACTTGTCAGTTTAAAAAAAAAAAAAATCTTTTTTTTTAATTGCGTTTTTACACAATATTCCACTACAGTCTTTACTTAGAAGGAAGGTTTCCATATATATATTTAAAAAAAAAAAATGTCTGAATGTTTAGAGGGGAACTTTAACACTAGGACAGCGAAGTTATATTTATATACTAGAAACAAGGAGAGTCTATTGGGGACCCAAATAGCATAGGGGATAGTGATCCAGCCATGAACTAGAATGAAGTGCTGTGAGACAGGATCAAATCCAAGTGACACAAGCAGCCCAGAAACATCCAAAGGGAGCCCAGACACACCCCCCCCCCCCATATGGAGACAACCAAATCCAACCAACAGTACATAACAGTAATAACATCACAGAGCAACTTGGAATTCATATATTTTTGCTTCATAAAAGAACATACATTTCTAACAATGAAGTTTATTGCACATAATTATTATTTCCTTATAGTGTTGTGGTGTGCTGTCACCTTATGTAATTTGAACTTAGTTTACATTTGTCTAGTTGCTTGCTTAGTTTTTAGAAAGAAACAGCAAATAGCTGTTTAAAAAAAAGGAGGATTACCTGATCACTGGGACTGAACACATCAATAAGAGAACCAATGGCTGATGCCGTATCTAGCAGAAGCTAGACAAATTACACCTGACAAACATATTTAAACTGGCCCGATGCAATTTACAAAACCTTATGCAACTGACCTTACCTAACATACATATTTTCATGATCTAGAAAAATTATCTTAATCTGATATTCACATCATACTTTCAATAGCTGGACAAATTAACTTAACCTAAGATTCACAACATACTTTTATAATCTACAGCATTGATCTTAAACTGACATTCACAACTTACTTTCATGATCAAGAGAAATGTACACAATATATCACTAGCCCTAAACACTTGTGTGTTACTATTTGGTTGATATGTTACAATACCAACATATAAATTAATCACAGTGCTTTGAGACAAAACAAAAATAGTTATTTAGCAGCAATAAACTATTTTAAACACAGCAAATAATTACAACCTGGCGTTTACTGTTGAAATGGATTTTAAGCTCAGACTTACTTCCCTTATCATTAGCAATATATATTATATCAATCAAGGGAAATAACTTATGATAAAGGAGCATAACTTTCACAAAAGATGGGTCAATATGTGACAAGAATTATGAAGGCACTTGTGTTTATTGCCACTTTACAAGCAGTAGAGCTTTAAGACTGATGATAGGTACAAATAGGAACTTATGATTTATAGTTAACAAGCTGTTCTTTAGCAAGATAACTATAATTGATGATACTCATCTCATTTCAACCCATCAGATGGAAACAAGGAACACCAAGGAAAATATTTTGGGGGATGTATTTTAGCCTTACTAGGTACAGTTTAATATATTCAATGTCATTATTTTTCAAATAGATTTTAGCTCTACTGGTTTATTTAAATGCACAGTTTATTAGCGTTGATAATTTTTCTTTTTCCTCTAATCTTAAAATAGATTTGTACATTAAAATATGTATCACAGACATCGATTTCACAAACATGCTGATGGCAACTGCCAAATACTGTTCAGAATATTTAAAAGCAGGGATTTTATTTTTTTACAAGTTGTATCCATATTCCATGGACCTAATACAAACTGGTTAAAACATTTTTTTAAATCCCAATATATTAGGATTTCAACCCATCAGGATTTCTATAAATAAATTTATCACAGAAATTTTTGCTTGACCAACAATCAAGCCAGTATTTTTTTTTAAGCCAGCAAAGCCCATAAAGCTATACCACATTAATCTAGCTTTAGGTGAACAGGCGAAATAAAATAAATAATTAAAATAAAAACAAATTTAAACAACAGTTGCTTGACCTAGCTCCTCCTCGGAGAACATTGCTTCCATCATCATCACACAGATCTTAGCTCTAAGGAGCTGTCCTTTCAGCTGCATGAGCTTAAAATCATCTTTCAGAATTTTTTCATGTCCCTGGTATTTTAGCACCAGGCAAAAGTTCGACAGGGCTTCCTCCGAGTACGCTAGAATACCTTTGCCTTTATTCTGGACAACGGAGTTTAGGTGCCGGACAACTAGGTTGACAATGTCCCTGGAAGTTGTTTGTTCCGTTATGTGCAGCTTAATGTTCACACTGCGGTTCAAACCAGTGTCATAGAGCGCGTGAACCTTAATGATGGCAAAGGATGGATCCTGAACAGGGGTGGATTCTGTTGCGGATTCTGTTATCGATGACGAGGTGGATGTGGATGCTGACGAGACAGACGACGAGGGGGATAAATGAGGGCGGGGCGACTGATGAGAGGTGGGCGTCGTCGGTGCCGATGATGAAGAGTTGGTTTTATTCGGACACGGATCCCTGTGGCCTCCGCCTATACTAATACTGTCTGCACTGTGAGGATTTTCCTCGTTCGGGTCATAGAATTTCGCGATGCGCCTAAGGTCTTTCCCGACGCTAATCGAGTTTGTTTTGTTTTGAGAACACTGGGTCGCGGTGAAGTGGTTGTTGTTGTTGTTGTTACTGAACCCCCCGTTGCTGAGCCGGGTCAGCTTGAGTTTGCTGTCGTGGCTGGTGGAGGCGATGCTGTGGTTGGAGGTGCTGGCGTGTAAGATGTGGGACAGGTGGATCCCCGCCTTCCTCTCTCTGTTTCTTGCATAGGTGGTGATGTCACGGATCCACCTGGCACACTTCCAGATCCTATCCAGGTTTTGCTGCAGGTGGGCTGTAACCTCCACCTGCTCTTTAGCCTTGCTAAGTTCTTCTGAAGAAAAGGCCTGCAGAAGAAAGACAAATGAAATTTTTTTTTAAACTAAATTTTAATTATAAACATTGAAAAAACTATAAAAAAAATAATAATATGTACTTTCCATCAATTAGTTTTATATTTTTAATTTTTTTCCAACCCCATTTCATCCATAAACACCTAATTGTTTTATCAGCTTGAATTGTCAATTTTAACTAATTGTTTCCCTTTAATCAAACTTTACTCTTTGCCAAGAACTTTGAATTTTAAAGAAAATCTGACTTTGATTGTCAGATGTACCAAAATATATTTATACAAAGGTAGTATTAATTGCATAATTAAAATGGAGTTATTTTTTTGCAAATATTTATGAAACAAAATAAGAATTTAATTGTCAGATTTGCCAAATTTTTTCTACAGAAAGTTAATGTTAATTGAACAACTAAAAGAAAAAAAAATCAACCAACATACCTCTCTGTGGCCTTGTTGAGCTAGGACCCCATCCATCTCAACAATGGCAGACAGACGAGCATACAAGGAAAAGAACTCAGGAAGATATGCATGCATATGAACTGAAAAATAATAAATTTAAAAATGATTTATTTTTTTTGTAAAATTTTAACAAAGAATATAAACTTTTATAGATTTATTTTTATCTTAATTATGATAAAAATATTTTAAAATAACACATAACCGAAACACTTACTTGATTCAAAAATTTGCACAGGTAAAAAACTGTAGTCTGCTCTCTTGGCCAGAATATCAGAGTGCCCGGGCACAATGCATATGTCTTCCATGGAGGGCAGAATCAGGATCATCGTGACGGATGGTGACAGCTCTAAGACCTCCAGGTCATACACCCTGTGACTCGCTAGCATCTCTTCTGACAACTCTACAAAGTAAAACAACAACACATTGTTAAAGTTAGTTTTAAATGGATTTTAATTAAAAGTGACTTACGCTGACCACCAATGGTAGATTTAGAGTTTTTTTTTAGTTTTATTGCTTTTTTAAATAATACTCAGACATTTTGAATTTACTATCTGGCATTTTTACAATAAGCATTTTAGTTTGCTAATTGCAAAGGACAGTTAAATAATTAAATAATTTTTAATTCGATTTAAAAAAAAATTAAATGGCTAAAGAGTGCACATTTGAATAAATTAATTATAATAAGTTATAATCCCAAAATTGTTATCCTAGACCACGTTCTCATATCATTGGCTCTATCTCAAAAATGCTAATTGATTCATTCAGTGGGGGGGGGGGGGGGGGGGGGGGGGGAAGAGAATTCCTTACAGAATACACTGTAAAAAAGATTCCTCTTTTGAGTTCATGTTTCTTGACCTCGCGATAATGTGGTCAGCACTATGCCCAGCCGCCTTTACATTCCCTAACATCAGCACTAACTGGGAGGGCTCAAAAATGTTCCACTGACTTGAATCTGGTTCCAAACTTAAGACTTTTGGGTAAGCAGCCACGCAGTTCCACACAGTAGACAATCAGGCCTACTTTAAATGAACAAATCTAGACAAAAAAGGCTCCACTTACCAAGTTGAGAAAACAATTTTTTAGTAGCATCCACCAGCAGCTGCTGGAAGTTTTTCTGTGTGGTTGTCATGGTGATGGTGTGTTTATGGCTGTCTGACTTTAACAGCCACTCCCACTCTTCTCTGTGGAGAGACAAAAACAAAAATCTCCAATGAAAATCAAAAATATAGAATGCAAAATTTAACATAAACAAATATGAGTTTTTGTTCCTGAAATCAACTTTATCTGTTCTTTGTTTTTAACAAGTTATTTCTAATCCTCGGATTTCTGTGTGTACATGATGGCATTCAAGCAATGTATGAGGATTTGTTACAAATGATTTTACTGCTGTTCAAAAATTCATCAGCTTGTGCAGTAAGAATAAATAAATAGCAGACTTTTAAGAGTTATATTTAAAAAATGTAACTATGTCAGCAAAAGATTACTTTGATATCAATCTACTAATTCAGAAAGAAGTTAAAAAAAACTTATACAGATACTCACTTGGAAACATTAGGCATATCTCTGATTTTTACATGGGGCACACAGTTAGGGGTCTTGTTAGGAACCATAACTCTGAGGACTTCAACTGAAGCTTGCAGTTTGACATAGCCCAAGTACAGTCCCCTTGGCAGGGCCACTCCACTGACTTGGTTATATAGAATCATCTCCTAAAAACATCAGGCAACAAATACTATTTAAAGTTACATTGCTAAACTAGGATCCATGACTATCTATACAAAACAGCTACTGAATTAAGGCTAAAATAGCATAGTATGTTTACACATGACAACCTATACCAAGTTAATGGGTTGTTTTTTTTTGTGGTATTTATAATGAAATCTTTAATTTCTAAATGTCATATAATTGTAGCTCATATTACTCATAGTACTAAACATCATTTCTAACCCCATACTATCCAACTAACTAAACCAAGATGGTAGATTTAGTGAATTTCTCAGTATTATATGTTAACTTGACTTTTTTAAAAGTTACTCTAATCAATATTTTATAATACATTTTAATCATAAGGTGTCAAAGGCAATTCTTGAACTTACCGGAACACTTGTGATTAATAAGCTGTGAGCATCGGCCGAGTCGACGGAGGACAAACTCTGACGTCGTGCCAGCTTGCCGAAGGTCACCCACTTGCTGGAGCCCAGGGTGACCAGTTTGGGGTCACGGATTTGGTTGACCACTGTAAATATAATACTGCTGCTGTTGTCTCGTACGGGGCGGTGGAAAAACTGACCAAGGTCGGTGACACCTAGACCAGACTGTAAGGAAAAAAAAAACAGAAATAAACTTATTTATAAAGTAAACAGAAGGCAATAACGATTTAATTAAGAATTTTTTTTTATCCAAGTCAATATTTAGAAAAAATGTATTGTTGAATTAAAGTCTCCTTTCTACATGTATAATAAAGAACAGTTAATCTGTTTCTGTTGCTAAATTATATGAGGCCTGCACAATCGCCATCCAACTTAAATTTCCAACACATGTTACGTTGGGCTCTATTATCTACAGCATTTCGCCATAAAGACTTCAATGCCTAACCCTTTCATGCTTAATTGAAGCCTTGCAAATACAAATATACAATTTTCTCATCTCTTTTCTAGAGTATAATAAAACAAATTATTCCATAGTAATTTAAAATGATTTTAGAAATATACCTGTAGAGAGATTATAGCTTGTAATAGTTTACATCTGAATGTGGAGCCTGCACTGCTAGTCCGTTCCATATCTTGTTTCAAAACTTTAACCTCTTCCCACATACATGACACCTGATTACAAGAAAACAAATAAACATTATTTATTTTTAATTAATAATTCATTTAATTTAAGGACAGAAGAATTACAAGAAGTAAAAATATATTTATTTTGAATAATTTAATTATTTTTACATAAGAACTAGATTTTATAAGAAAGAAAATATATTTATTTTGAACAATTTAATTATTTTTCCATAAAAAGTAGCATTTTATAAGAAATTAATGATGTCAAAACAATTGATAAACATTAGCAACAGGTCTAGGTAAATCCTTTTTAAAAATTTTACTGCATAAAGGACCCACCTTGAGTAACCAATAGAGGTCATTCTGTATGGAAGGAGCAGAGAATGTCTCATCCACTTCAATAATTGGCAGCTGTTCTTCAGATGTCACCAGGATCCTGTCCTCATTGTAGAACAAACACGCCATGTACACCCCTCTGTAAACATTACGTGAGGACCATTTTTAGCATCAGATATGTTAATGATATAGGGGTATTTTTTTTTTAAATTCAGTTCTACATTCAAGCTTGTATTACAGGTTCACCTACTGTGGGTGACTAGTGCAACTAAGCAATTTACAATTTTTTCAACGACACCTGCTACTTAGAGCATCTGTTGCCTGTTTTAATTGTTGAATACATTTAAAATAAAATTCACTGAATTTATGTATGAATGAGAAATATTTATATAATCCTGCCGGATGACTAACCATACATTTATTCACCATAGCACAGGGCGGTGTGTATGTAAAATGGAATGCAGTACATATGTAACAGGTATTTAATGATGAGATGACAGAATTTTTTTTCCATTTTCTAGTGTCAAGTTTTACCAACTCAATGGTATTAAGTTAAATGACAGAGTTAGATAAAAATTAATAGACAAGTTTTAGCTGATGGGTTTACAATAGTTGCTTTTAAAAAAAAAATAAGCCTATAAATTTGGCTACAATCCAGGTATGGTAAAAATTTAAACATGTATAGTTAATTCAGGCTCAACACTGGCAATGTCAGGTGAGAAATACACCAGGGAACGAGAGTAAACCACAACGATGTTTGCTTAATTTGAAAAATAATCTGCACTTTCCATTTTTTAATTAAATAAACTAATTTTGAATTTTAAAAATTATGAAATTATGTACGCACCTTTTAACAGTTTTCTGAAATTTAGGTGTTGACACAAACAGATTTTTTATGCTGATTCTTTTTTTCTGCATAGGTGACTCAGCTCCCCTATTGAGGATGTCTAAAACAACAAAAAAAATGTTAACGTTACTGCTAAGAAAACTTTCTTGCTTTGTTATTAACAGAAAATTATACAGATAATCTACAAATGATGTTAACAAGAAAATTTACTGGATACTAATCTGAATGTGTGAAGTATTTTGTTGACTTTAAGTATAGAAGAGTTCTGTTAATGAAGGGAAAATACCTTTCATTTCTGCAGCTTCAGGTGGTCTGGATTTCTTGACCTGATGGTAAAGGGTGTACAGGGAGGCAACTTTTCCTTCAAGCCTGGATGGGATGCCATCTACTTCTCGCCAGCCTGCATCGTACAAACACATTTTGTCATAAATCCACACATACAAATAATTTACTTGAGTTTCCGAAATGTCAAATACTAAACTACTGATCTATAAATAGAACTGAGGCAAAGATGTGTATACTCACAAGATGGTGCGGCACACGCTGGTTCACTTTGACAGTACGGGCCAAGACCTTTAACATTCCAGGCACACACTCGCACATAGTACATGTTTCCCTTGTTTAAGTTTTTGATCTCGTATTCCAGATGAGCTAAATCTTCAATGATTGCCTCTCCAGTCAAAGGTGTAAAAGTTTCCCAACAGCTCCATTCAACTGGAAATTTTAAAAACAATGATTCAACTTACATATTTACTGGAAATTTTAAAAACAAGGATTCAACTTTCGTGATATTAATATAAACAGAAATTTTATACACAAATCAATTTTAAATTGTCTAAATTTTGGCAGCAAAAACTAATGTTAATACTGTAGCTAAATAGTTATGAAATGTTTTAGATTGTTTATTTACCTTTGTACTTGGTAACGACGGCTGCATTATGGCTTTGTGGCTCTGCAAATGTGACCAATAGGGAAGAGTTGCTGGCAACTTCAAGTCTAACATTGGTAGGTGGTTCTGGAGGCTCTGCAAAGGTAATTTGTTAGGAATGTAAACAATGACATTTAGTTATTTTTTTTAAATATATATTTTAAAATAATATTTCACTTATATCTCATTACATTTAGTAGGCGTATTATAACAGCCTATACAATTCAATTCAATGTAAAGCTATTCAAAGTATGGCCAACTCACTAGCATGATCATAGCCTGCTTTCATTCTCTTCAGTAGGCGGTGCCTGAATTCCCAGTGACTCAATAGTTTTTCATTTTCCTAAAAAATAAATAGAACAAAATGTAAATGTAATACTAAAACTAATTTATTCATAAAAAGGCAACATCTCATGTCATAAATCAAATAGCCTAACACTTAACAACATGACTTGGTTATTTGTTGAGTAACCATATAGATATGCCATATACTATAGGGCCATAGGCCCATCAAAATTATAATAAACAATGTATGCGCATAATGAATGTCTGACTAGTTCATTAAGTACTTGGAATACTAAACTTGATATTTTCATTATTTTGGTAATCAAACAACCATTGACTGGATGCTTGGTTATTTGTTTTGGGTTCACTTGAATTTTTCACTTTACTTAGCAACATTTTGATTTTTACTCTTTTGGTTGAGGTTTTTTTTTTAGTTGGCAGAGGTTTCCCGTTTATTAACTACACATCATAATTTAGTATAGTCTATCTCTAGACTAATCTAGAAATCTATACCCATTTAAACATTTCTTTAATCTAAAAATAATTTTAGATCCATTTTTTAAAAGGAAAAATTGAAAAAAAAAACTGCTGTGATGATTTCTATGGTGATGTGTTGAAAGTTGAAATGACAAAAATCACTACTGAATGAATTTGAATGTTATTTTAAATAACAACAGTGCATAAGCAACAACTGCACATATGGTTCTACAAATTTCAGTTACATGATCTAGATCTATCGACTTGTTGTGTTCTTATCAATTAAAAATAAACGTACAAAACTAGATAAGAAATTAAATAAAGCGTTATGTTGTCACATTTCACATTTTACCCCATGCAAGTGTATGGTACTTCTCAGCAGTTTAAAAAAAGTCAATATTTGTAAAATGTAGAGTTAATAACCGAAAACTAGGAGTAACCTACGCAAACTATAAAGGCCAATGATAATTAATGAAGCTTTGTAAACGAAAAATATTTATTAAAAAATTGCTTTTGTAACTTAAACCTCTTTAAAAACAAGATTACCACTGCATTTTATTTTATGTGCAAGTTTTATTTTCAAATTACAATAATGAACCCCCTCGTAATTATGTCTTGCAAGATATTCATTAATTAAAAACGTTCCACTTTCGCAACTTTAAAACAACTAACATATTGTTATGGTTGTTTAAAATGTGTGATCGTATGAAGTTGTTTAAAGTTATTACATACCTATAAATAAACATAACAATGCAGTCTTTCTTTACCATGCACTTAAACTAAATAAGAATATTGTCCTTTTTTTTATTCACCGCAGAAACAAATCCGCATTGTGCTAACGAAAGATTAATCCCAATTTTCTTTAGATGAAAAAAATGCATCAAACGAACGTGCCCCACGATTATAAATGGACTACCTGGCAGTTTACCTAGCGTAACTGCACGGGGGTAACAATGTTTGGTTTACACCGGCCAGGGCAGTCTTGTGCGTTAACACCGGGTCACCATCTTCCCCTATTAATAATATTTACCATCTTTTGAAGATCGCATTCTAGATTATAGATAGATGGAGGATTATTAGAACAGCCCCCTCCGGCCCCCCATCCCTTAGATAAACACGTAGGCCGAGTATAAAATACTTGAAACACTGCTAGCTATTGCCTGTGCACTCAAGCATGTACGCTAGGCACACAGAAGGTGTGTTGTTTTAACAAGGTGCATCTTCTTTTTGGTCAGTGGTTCAATTGACCAAGAGTGGTGTAACACCGAGCAGCGGTTCTAAATTTTTTAACCCAAGGCCCATTCTCATAATGAACGAGGTTCTTTTAAAATTTTGTTTCGTGTAAGCCATCAATTTTTCGTTATTAGAATATGTTCACTATTTTCTAAAAAAAAAAAAAGAATAATTTCATTTTATTGAAATAAATATCGTGAGAATTATAAGAAGGCCCGATATGAATTATATTTAAGATATGAGAACCTCTAGTTTAAAGAAAACAGAATCGCAAGGGAGAGCAATGGGAAACAAGCACTTTGGTTTTTTTTTACAAAGAGACGAACGTTGGAGGGATAGCGGGAAGGGGAGGGACTGAAGGGGGGGGGGGGGGTGGGTCAAGTTTCGTGTTTGTCGTCGCGCGTGCTTCTAGATCCCTCCCCCCCCCCACACACACACACCTCCACCTCCCAGACAGCCCTCACCTTTCTACACTAAAATTACCTCACACGTGCAGGCGAGTGTGACGTAAATGGGCTGGCATCGCGTAAAATAAAAACACACAATAATGTGAGGGATGGGGGGGGGGGGGGTGATTTTTTTCTCCCTACCCCTCCCGGAACCCACCCATGGTGTCTGTTGTTTAAGGTGGGTTAGGTTTAACCCTGATACATGCAGGTTAATTACTGCTGTTAAATACGTTTCATGTTAACTCTTGTTCAACAAGGGTAATTAACTTGAACAGTGTCAAATGGGTTATGTTAACCTTAGAATGTAAGCTGATTTACCTATTTAAAAAAAGAGTTCATTCCGCTAAACATGGGTTACGTTAATTATGTTAAACAAAGGGTTACTTTAACCCTACTAATTACGGATATATTAAACCTGTTTAAAAGCTTGTGGTTAAACTAACAAAAAAAAAAAAACATCTGCATTAACGTTGTGAGTCATGATTGGGTTACGTAGCTGATGTGAACACAATTCTAGAGTTATTCGAACCACTCAACAATGTTTAGAAAATGATATACGCAAAAAAAAAAAATCTACACCCCCCCCCCCACACCCTTCCATATTTCCCACCACGGAAGCTGTAACTATTAAAAGTTGTATCTGAAGTTTAAAACGACTATAACTAATACACCCTAACAAAATACCAGCACCAACACAGCAATGAACAACGTGCAGGTTATTGATTGGGAATTACATCACTTGCCGTGTGAAAAACTCGCACTTTGAAAGATATTTTTTTCCCTGCCAAATTATTGAACCGATTTAACAACAATTATTTCAATTGAGGGCGTCACTCGCCGGCTGCTCCAGGTCACGTGGTATGAAACATTTCTGCTGAATTTGCAGTTTATATATATACATATATATTTTAAGACTTTAAGAGCTAGTTGAATCGGCAGAAATAAAAATAACCTACTTCAAGATTGCAACAGTTTATTTTTTTTTTCGATTACAAAAGTAATCGTAACTAAAAAATGAGTATAAATTTGAAAGAAATTATGAAAGAATTTGAATTCAAGTCTCTTAGTTAAAAAACTACACAGCATGAACTCTACCAGTAGCTTTAAATTAGGTCTACAGTTCTTCCGGCTAGGGTTATTAAACACCTCAAGAATATAGCTCTTCTAACTCAGGGACTATAATTAACTCAAGGCCTATAACTCTTCCTAATTTTGTGGCCGTGGTTCATTCAAGGCATTGTGAAGCAACAGCAAAGATATCTGTCGCAGGGAAGAATGAATGTAAACAAAGCAGGAACGAGAAAACAAAACAAAAAGTGTGTTGAGTTCGTTCACTGGCAAACTATTCGGACACAGGTTTTAAATGTTCGGAAATTAGACTGTTCGGAGAATGGATAGTCATAAAATTTGACTTTCCAGAGATCTGACTGTTTATGAAATTGTTTTTTTTGTGTGGATGACTTGTATGTTAGGGAATTCGATATTCATGGGAAATAGTTTGATGCATTTTTCTTTTGTATTTTTTTTAAAAAGTACCTCCTGTAGCGATAAAGTAAACGAGCAGTTCGGTAATTACACTAACCGCTCTATGTAACCTGAACGTACTATCATAATTATTTTTTAAGTTTAAAAATCTAATTGAAAGAACAATGGCCGTATCAGATTTAAAAAAAAAACAATAATCAAGATTTATTTTGCTGGCTGGGGGGGGGGGGGGAGATGCAATGCTGACTTTTTTTTTAGAGCAACACAAAATTACATTTTTAAAAAAAATGCACTTTTAATTGATAAGGGACGACGTGGCCTAACGGTAGAGAGATACGCGGCTAACCGAAAGGCTAGTGTTGGAATCCGGGTTCAAGTCAGTTGAACGTCCCTGAAGTACCCAGTTCTGATGGGTACCTAACTCAAGTTAGGGAAACAAAAGCGGCTGGGCAAAATGCTGACCACACTATCCCAGGTCCCCGAAACAGATGAACTCTACTTCATCTGTCCCGTCTTAGGCACGAATGGGAAAAGGTGAGATGATGGACTGATACGACAAAAAAAAAACTACTTACACGGAGCTGGGCTGGGGAGATATTGGCGTTCCCAGAGGAGCCAGTCAACACGATAGCAGTGAGATCTATCACTCTTTTCTCAGCCTCTGTTACCAGCATCTCTAGCTTCTGTAGTCGGCAGTCGCCTCTCTGAACTGGGGGTGACAAGTAATCTTTCACGTTTATAGATGTCTACAGTAACTTAGTCAGTAACATTAAGTAGACATATAGTTCTTCCAACTGGGGTTGTAATTAAATTAGGCATATAGATCTTATTCTTCTACTTTTGGGGCTATATTTCAGTTTACGCATACAACTTTTGTAACTCTATGACGATAATTAACTCTAGGCCTATAGCTGTTCCAATTTAGGGGCTATGATTCACTCTAGACAAATAGCTCTTCAAATACTCTGGGACTATTTTTCAGTGCAGGCAAATAACTATTCTCTAATCTAGGACTGTCGGTAACTCTTGTTCTATAGCTCTTCTAACTGTTGTGGCTCTAATTCACATTTTAGCAAGCAGCTCTTCTCCACAAGTGTTCAGCTTCCTAACAGACAATCAGCTCTTCTATCCATGCAGCTACTACCAATCTCCCCACATCAACAACAACTAACAAGCTCATGTTGACTACACGTTGGTACACAGTGATCAGACAGTGAGCACATAGTAAGCAGACAGTGGAAAATGTACTCACACATTGGGCTCTCTTTGGCACCTCGCGACAGCAGGATCTTCGCCATGGGAATGTTGTTGGTCATGACGGCAATGTCAAGGACACTGAGGTTCTCGCCATTCAGACTGGAGGAAAAAATCAAAACAAATTTTATTCTTCAAAGAACAACAATTTAGTTTAAAAACGAATACATTTGGAATTTACCTATTTTACATTACGCACACATATACCAAAACCTATATATATATATATATATATATATATATATATATATATATATATATATATATATAGGCCATATAATCAATGCTAATGAATTACCTATTAATGTCTACAGCGTTAGTCTCCAGAATAAATTTGGCGAGGTCAATGTCCTGCTGTTCCACAGCATCAAAGAGAGCTGGATTATAAAACAAAATATATAACAGCTCACTAATTATTCAGGCTACAGGCTAGGTAGATACAGACAGGCTACCTGTCGTTTATGTTAAAATTAACACTTAAGTGTTCACTGATGAATCATAGCCGTGTTGGAGAGGTAATTAGCTGTTGTTGTTTTGTTCGATGGTGTTTAGGGTGAGTATTGTATATACAAAAATTTAGAAAATCAGAGGATTGTTTTGACTTTGTTCAAGGTTGAAGACAACGCACAAAGGCTGATCAGAAAACTGACATAAATTAAAGTAAACATTGGCTTACGCGGAGCTTAAAAGTGTATAGAAGACAGGCAAAGGAATAGCAGTACTTAAAGTAACACATGTGATGTACACACAACAGACACACATCAAGACGTTACACATGAATTAAGACATCACATTTTATGTTGGCAACATACAAAATCTAACATATAATTTACATATAAAATATACGTTCTAATGCAAGAAACACATCTTAAGATGATATACATGTTTTGAGACCCATGTACGATACATACAAGACATGAACAAGACAATTATAGAGCACATACAAGAATCATGGAACCACACATACAAGGTACAAACTAGACGTATACAAGACACATAGATGACAGACACAAGACATTTAAAAAGCACAGCTAAGACACATTCAAAATACATACAAGACACATACAAGACATACGCAAGACACGAATAAGACATTTATAAGGCACACACACAATAATCATAAAACACAAACAAGATAAGTATAGATGACAGACACAAGACACTTCTAAGACACACCCACACAAGACAGGCCAGACGTACCTGTGATATCACAAAGTGCTCTCTTGTCAGACCGCCGTCTGCTAGCTTGACCATCCGGCACATCAATGCTCATACTTTTCTTCTTCTGCGAGTCTAAACAAATCATAAAACACCCCAATACAATAACCACGTTATACAAAGAGTAACTCATAACACACCACACCTAATCTCCATTACGCTTAAAGTTAATTCGTAATTCTAATTGGGAACAGTGCATTAATTTTGTAAAAAAAAAAAAAAAAAAAAAAAAACGTTTTAATAATTACAGTTTTCCATACGCAATGACTCAACAAAAAAAGACTTAAAAAAAAATAATGACTCACTTGATAGGAGTCGAATGTCCTTCATTATCTTAGGACTGTAGCCGAAGTCGCTGCTGTCCTTGTTGCTGAGGTAGGCGGGTGCACTGGGGGAGGCCGAGAGACCCGTCATCACGTCCATGGAACTTTCCTCGGACGACGAAGAGAATAGTTTAACCGACCTGGCATCGCCCCTGGAATATAGAGGATAAACAGGGGTTAGAGGTGTAATGGGGGTGGGGGGGGGGGGGTATCTGGGTAGGAAACATGTGAAGGTGGTATGTTTTTGGAAGTGACTTTTTGAGACAGGGTGTTAGTGTGGTGTCGTTTTAAGTGGTATTTGTTTCAAAGAGTATTGTTTAAGGGGCTTTGTTAAAAAGATGGATTATTATAAGATTGTTATAACATGCGGGACATTGTTATGACGGGCATTGTTTCAAATGGTATTGTTGTAAGGGGCATTTTTTCTAGTGATATTATATATATATATATATATATATATATATATATATATATATATATATATATATATATATATATATATATATATATATATATATATATATATATATATATATATATATGTATATATGATTTGATAAAATAATATTGCATATGTTTATTTTAAGTGAAAATGTGTTGAATTCTGAATTTTTTAAGGGGTGTTTATTTGTATTGACAACAATCGTTTGAAGAAAAAAATTCGCAGAAAAAAAAATCGCAAAAAAAAAAGATCGCACGAGACCTAGGATAGCTCGCGTGGAGGACAGAGCCTAAAGCAAACATCCGCGTGGGGCTAGATCTAGTTCAAACACCGGCATGTCTTAGATCCTGGTCAAAGCTAAACCAAGGTGGACGGCAAGCACTCTTTTGGCTAACTGTGGCGTCATCTTTTAGGTTCAGGGGAAAGGCTATTGGCTAACTGTGGCGTCATCTTTTATGTACAGTGGCAAGGCTATTGGCTAACTGTGGCGTCATCTTTTAGGTACAGTGGCAAGGCTATTGGCTAATAGTGGCGTCAACTTTTAGGTACAGTGGCAAGGCTATTGGCTAACTGTGGCGTCATCTTTTAGGTACAGTGGCAAGGCTATTGGCTAACTGTGACGTCATATTTTAGGTACAGTGGCAAGGCTATTGGCTAACTGTGACGTCATCTTTTAGGTTCAGGGGAAAGGCTATTGGCTAACTGTGACGTCACCTTTTAGCTAACAATTGGGGGTGGGGTGAGGGGGGCGGGGGCGGTACAGTAACAGCAAATGCAAGAATAGATCGACTAATTGTAAAAAATACTTAGCGTTTTGGATTATTTCTACGCTTACAATATAATAAAGTAATAGGGCAATAGCAATATAAGAACTTTTTCAAATATATTTCTAAAAATACAAACAAACCAATAACGTGTTTAAAAAACAAAAATAAGTGGTTCGAATTAATTAGTGCCCATTTGATCCTAATAAAAAAATCATGTCTAAAATCATTCGCCGGAACAAGAAATTAAAAAAAAAAAGCAACATTAATTATCAAACATCTTTAATCAGAACTTGAAAATATGTAACTATACTTACAAAAACAGTAAAGTATTATTTGGATTAAAAAATAACATTTTGCCAAAAAAAAAAAATCCAATAGAATAGAACTATCCGAGAAAATATGTTTCGCACTATCAGCAAAATTTGGCAATACACAAGTAAAACATCTAATTTGAAAATTTTGTTGTCCGTTCCCAAAAATAAATTAGCAAAACAATGTACTATCTCACACGCGCGGGTCCAAAAGAATATATTAATTGTAATTAATTTATTTTAATTAAGAGCTAAACAAACTTGCCTTCTGACCATTAAAAACTCCAACTTTAAAACAGAAGTCACCCCCACGCCGAACACTTTCTATAAGTGAGTCTGAAGTACGTCCACCACTAAACATCAAACGACACCGGATTAAAGTCACGTGCATCGACTCCCACTCCAGGTTATTAATAACACGTTTCATAAAAATCTAAGGCCGGCTCGCTATTGTGAAACAATATTTCACACCAGATGGTAGCATCTGTGCAAGGTGTGTGTATGTGTGGGGAGAGGGGGGGGGCAGGTCGCCGTACAGTAGATGAAATACGGGTCTAGTCAAGTCAAGGCAAGCAGATGCAGTAGACGTGCATTGTCCAGAATTTGACCTCAACAAAATGCAATTAGCTGAAGAGATGGGGGAACGCGATACGGTTATGCCGGTGCGAGTACAGCATGCGCGCGCTGTAACGAAATGTATGGTCGTTAATTGTGTTTCGTTTGTATGAAAGTGTGTGTATTAGGTATATGTTTTTGATCATATGAAAGCATGTACTTTAGATACTTGTTTTGGGTCGTTGAAAGTATAAGTATAAGAACCAAATTTTTTGGCTAGTTGGAAGGATAATATGCATTTGAATCATACTTTGAATTTACTGGAAGCATATGAATAAGAATCATATTTTGGATAAAGAGAAGTATACAATTATTTTTAGTTTGAAAGTATATAAATGAGATAAAAACTTTTATTTTTAAAAGCTTATGCATTTTGAATAACTACTTGGCAAAACAAAAATTCGGTATTTTCTTCAGTAGACGTCGAGATATATTTACATATATAAGGTCAGTACAGTAATGCACTATTAATATCATATATAGGATAAATACAACGATGTACTATTCTTATTAGATATAGGTTCAGTGCAGTCCTGCACTTATAAATTTACCTATATATACAGAATCAGTATCGAGATGTACTCTTCTATCGAGGAGTTAATTGCTACAAAGATGGGCGATACAAAAAACACATTTAATGTTGGATTTGGCACGACCTTCGCGGTACTGGAAACGTCTAACCATATTCAGGTGAGCTGCAAATAGATGCAAATCGCTGTTTTTAAAAGCACCGATGCACTCTAGAATACACCCTCGAATTAAATCACTAATCTCTACGTCCGCTTGTTGTTGAAACGGTAAGAATGTCTTTTTTTATATATTATTATATTCACACAATTAAAGTTGGAATTGTATAAAATGTATAATTACGTATTCTTATCCAGAAACCCCGGATATACACCCCACACCAATTCCTTTACTTTCCACGACTCGTATATTTATTAACTCTTGAAGACCAACCATCACAATTACCACCCCCCCCCACTCATCTCTACATATTTATTCTACTCCCGTTTCAAACTCACAGTTACCCAGTCTTCTCGTTTACCATCGTCCACTTCTTTTAACCCCACACTGCCTAGCCCCCAAACACCCCCTCCTTTTACCACCTCTACCCCCCACACTATACTCCCTCCACCCCTCCACCCCTCTCCCCTTCAACCCCCCCACCCTATACTTCCCCTACCCCCATTCTATACTCTCTACTCCAACACTCTAACCTTTCCCCCTAATACTCCCTCGAACCCTTACCCCCAACCCTTACTCCCCCTACCCTCACTCTATACTCGCCTTTTACCCCCACCCTATACTCCCCCTACCCCCTCTACCCCTCTCTTCTTTACCTCCAACCCAATACTCCCTCTATCCCTTAAACCCCACCCCCTACCCTATACTCACCCTACCCCCACCATATACTCCCTCTACCCCATTTCCCCCACTATACTCCCCACACCCCACCGCCTTCTACTCTCCCCCCACTAACTCCCACCACACACACACACACCAATCCCTCACACCTTCCACGGACCCACACTTTATTGTATTTCACAATCTACCAGCCCATGTAATTTTCACGTCGATATTTGAAAAGCTACAAATCCGATTTCACTTCGATTTTAAAATTGCCTTTCTTTCCCAAAGTCCACAGGATTTCATTTTAAACAAATAACACCTCTTCAAATATCAAATACCTAGAAAGGCTTTCGAAATCACTTTAAAAAAAAGTGTAAAGAAACACCGATTTTGGGGCGCTAGATTTTACTACATTTTTAATTGAGATGGGTTTTACCTTTGCCAATGAAAAGCAAATCGTGTTGAGTTTAGCTGATTTAGGGTGTTTAAGTTTGATTTTTGGACTAGAAGTATATCCAGAGGCGTAGTGACCCTTCCCGGCGCACGGGGACAAACTTTCAATTTGGCGCCCCCTCGGGGACAACTTTCAATTTTCAATTTGCACCCACCCCTCAAACTTTCAATTTGTTTTTCCAACCCATTTCGGCGCCCCCTAATGTCGGCGCCAGGGGACATATGTACCCCCCGCCCCCCTCGCTACTCCTCTGAGTATATCTTCAGTAAACCAAGTAGTGTCACAGTAACGAAAAGACCTTGGTCTATTTAATTACGCTCAAGGGTCTGCGCATGCGTGACACGCGTGTTTGAATGAGTAGGAAACCGCTCACGTGTTTCATTCAACACCTGCTCCGCCAATCGGGTTAGAGCGCGTGGGCTTCGACAAACCACCAATTGATGGGGATCTTACATCAGCCTGTTGCATTGTCAGACAATTAAACAAGGCCACTTTACAACTCTACAAAATGGGGTGCGGGCTTTAAAGGGGGAGGAGGTGGGGGGGGGGGGGGTGGAAGTTTCGTACGACAAATGATACATTGTTCTCTTGTTTTTTTTTTTATGATTTTTTTTAGCATATGATCTTTGACATATAAATTGTAAAAAAAATATAATGGCAATTTTATGTTAGCTTGATGAATCATCAATAAATTTATTCTTAAACGAGGCCATTTGACACACAGTGTGTATATATATATATATATATATATATATATATATATATATATATATATATATATATATATATATATATATATATATATATATATATATATATATACGTAACTATGGTGTGTGTACGGGGTGGGGGAAGAAGCGTGGGTGGGGAAAAGTTCACTACATAAAAACTTTATTTTCCAATAAATAAATTTATAGTTATAGAACTAGAGTTAAAACGACATTTTCTAGAAATAAATAAATAAATATTAAAGTTAAACAAACAATATATAAAACTGTTTACACAAAAACGTTATCCAACGAAAATTATATTGTCAAAATACGGCATCAAAAACAAGTAAAAAAAACAAAACAACAAGCAGAAAATATAATGCAGAAGTCGAAACTATAACGTAAAAATTAGTCAACGAAAAAAAGTAAAAATAAATCGTACCAGTCAAGACTACTGTATAAAAAAATACGACATCAGAATACTAACAACTGAAACAAAACACTCTTGAGAATAAAAAAAAACAAAAAACAACTAGAAAACTAACTACCGAAACAAAACACACCTGAGAAAAAAAAACAACAACTCACCAATCGAGACTGATGGAGCGGTTCCTTGAAGGTGAGATCGGTTCCTTCCTGTCCCTTAGCACCAGTCGTCTGGACAACTTCTGCAAGTTCCCGGCACTAGAGGAGGTTTCCAGCCTGTGAAAGACAACATCAGGTGGCGCTTGTTTCAATACATGGAATACCCGTGCATACATGTAAGACCTACATACAGATATATACACGTATACAAACAAGGACGTAAAAACATACACAAACAATTCCACTCATATACATACAAATACATACACGTACACATAAGCACGTACACACATATGCATGCAAATATACGTGAATATGCAAATACGTACACAAATATGCATACATATACACACAAGTACACAAATATAAATGCAGATACACAGATGTACACATGTACATACATACAGATATATACACGTATACAAACATACACATACACATAAACATACAAACACGTACGATGATACACATACAAATACATACACCTATCCATAAACACGTAGATGATACACATACAAATACATAGGCCTATCCATAAACACGTACATAAACACGTACAGACATACACATACAGATACATACACGTACAGACATACACATACAGATACATACACGTATAGACACACAATTTGTTGCCTGAGGTCGCCAGCGATCAAATCGCCGCCACGACAATACAAATCGTGTTTTACGCCTTGGGTTACATTCTTTTATTCATTTTTAAGTCATAATAGCACAATTCTTGTCTAATTTTACAGCCCTCCCCCCCTCCCTAAACATACGCTGAACACTACACTACCATATATATAATTCTCTAATTTTACTCCCGCCCCCTCCCCAAACATACGCTGAACACTACACTACCATATATATAATTCTCTAATTTTACTCCCGCCCCCTCCCCAAACATACGCTGAACACTACACTATCATAGATATAATTCTCTAATTTTTACCCCCCCCCCCCCCCTCCCTCCACCATACGCTGATCACTACAGTAGATATACCACGCAGTGGCGGAACTAGAAAAAAAGGGCCACCCCGCAAACAAATTTTTTAGGCCCCATATATATATATATATATATATATATATATATATATATATATATATATATATATATATATATATATATATATATATATATATATATATATATATATATATATATATATATATATATATATATATGCAATCACATAATACGAACATAGGATACTCATTGCTGTCCTCTTCAGGATTTGAAAAACATCAATAAAAAAAAATTTCAACATCATGTCATGTGTGAAAGCGCATTAGCGTGTTTTGTGAAAATAAGTATTAATTAATTTTTGATAAAAGCCCTTTAATCATTCTGTCGGTCAAAATAATATAAAATATGAAAGCTTTGTATAAGTAATGGTGTCTCGTGTTATGTTTATTTTTATGTTTTTTTCTTGTAGTTATATTATTAATGTTTAAAATATTATTGATTTAATACATTTTAATACATTTCTCTGTTATACAATATTATTCTTTAGTAATTACTTATAAAAAATAATAATTAAGAGAAGTAATTGCTTTTTAATTTGTTTAGTACAAATCTATTAAAAGGAGCTTATGATCACCCCTATTTGACTATTTTTTTAAAAAGGGAAATAAGTCATGGAAGTGGTTTGAACATTTGTTTATCTTTGATAAGTTTAATTGTAGGAGAAAGACTCGGCTTTCAAAGTTGTTTAAAAACAAAGGGAAAAAGAAGAAACAAGAGCGTGGGGTGGTGTCTATAGAATAAAGATAATCCAACCGCAGCTACGGTAATTTTTTACAAAACAACCATCAAGTCAAAAATGAAAGAAAATTTACTTTTGTTTAACTATAAAAAAAATTATTATGGTCAGCTCTGGGCCCCTAAATGGCGTGGGCCCCCCCCCCGCATTGCGGGGTCTGGCGGCACTGTAGTTCCGCCCCTGATACCACGCCACACGGGCACGAAGCTTTAAGCTTTTGTTAAAACATTGGGTGATTAAAGGCTCGTACTACCATTTACGCCTATCTAATTACCTGGAGATTTTAATTAAAATTTATTGCAGTCTGTTTTTTTTTTCTGTATAGACTTAACAGCTTAGATTACAAATATTATGAATACTTAAACAAATGTAATTAAAACATTTTATTTTTAAATATATAACTTATAAATAAGTGTATGGCGTATGGGGATGGAATATTTATTAATGAATTAATTTGATAACTATTTTATGATAATATCTTGGTTATTTTAAACCAAACGTAGGTTAGTAATGTAAAACCCTTCAGCTCTCGTGAAAAAAAAAATCGTTTTTAGTTCAGTTGTACTATCAAGAATGTTAACTCAATTCGTCAGTAAGAGTTGTCTTTCCTTATAAATAGGACGAGAGTGACTAGCCTTAGTTCAGCTCGTGTGGGCATTCACACTTCGCTCATTGAGATACAAGGCCCGCTACTTTGGTTACAATACATGATTAAGGTACTTGAGTTAGCTGCCCCTTCTTTTGTTTCCCCTTTTAGTTTTGAAACTGTTACTTTTTTTAATAACTAAACTAAACTTCGACTTCGTTTTCATGTTGTTATATTAATTGACCCTAAACAACGATGAGTCATTCATCTACACCTACACACTATTCAACACACATCCACACACGATAAAAAATAACCTACTCGTCCTTTTAAATCAGGCCGTTATAAAAGGATAAAATATTCTATTTATAAACTATACTTGGCTTAATTAGAGTTTTTTTTTTAAAAAAAAAAAAAAAGCTAATTGGTGATTTGTAAGGTTGGGATAAAAGAAAAGAAGCAACCAGGAACGATAACTTTCTCCATAGACAATTCAGAGTTACTCCGCATGATTATCTCCAGCCACTTTGAACGATCCCTGCCGAACGGCTACCAGGAATGGAAACAATTTGTGGTAATCATTTCGACCTTATGTGCTTGACATTCGATAGAACAAATTGCTATATTTAGAAACGCAGTTTTTCCCGATGATAAATATAATTGTCTCAGCGTATTGATAAAAATAGAAATAAAAAATTCAAACCATTTTTAGTATTTTTTTTAAATAGATAAAAAATATTATAGAATCAAATGTTGTAGAGTTAGTTTAGAAACAATGTGATCGTGGGGTGGAGATAAGGACTGCTAGTCCGAAACTTTCGAGTTCGAATCTCGAACTCGAGTCTGTATGACGTCACTGAGTCCACTCAGCTCTGAGGGGTACCTGACTCATGTTAGGGAAACTAAGGCATAATTCTGACCACACTATCCCCTTGTATGCTGAGTTAGCTGAAACAGATGAACTCTTCTTCATCTGCCCTATATGTACTGGGTAGGGAAATGTGATGATAGTTTAAATAAATAGTATATTTGAAGTGTAAAATTTAAAAGAAAAAAAAGGCAAACTCCATACAGATAAGAAGGAACTCTAGAACTCAATTACAAAAGAGGTACAGTGCTTCCAATTTGGAATCCACCAATTCAACTATGTAGGAAGCTACATTAGTAGCACGATTGTAGCAAACTACATTTGAAACACGACTTTATCGAAATGTATTTGTAACACAAATGTAGCTACCAACATTGGTAGAACTAGTGTAGCAAACTACATTTGAAACACGACTTTATCTAACTCTATTTGTAACACGACTGTAGCTAGCTTTGTTTGAAATACAATTGTAGCTACCAACATTGTAGCAAACTACATTTGAAACACGACTTTACCTAACCTTATAACAAGAATGTAGCTAGCTACATTAGTAACGCGACTGTAGCTAACTACATTAGTAACACCAATTAATTATTTATTTACTATTTCTAGCGTTAATGAGACCGGAAGTAATTTTGTACTTATTACACAAATTAAAATGTTCTAAAATATTCAATTTGTGTTGAAAAATATGCTTTCTGGCAACAAAATTTGGAACCACTTGGAACCAGCTTTTCAAGTTTAATATGAAGCCGGAAAAGTAATTCCTATTTTTCAACATTACAAGAAATATTTATCTACAAGACAAACTACATTTGAAACACGACTTTATCTAACCTTATAACAAGAATATAGCTAGCTACATTAGTAACGCGACTGTAGCTAACTACATTAGTAACACCAATTTGTAGCTACATTTGTAGCACGATTATCAAGAGTAGAACCTCAATACAAAGACGCAAGCTACCTTGATATATCTACTCTAATCAATTCTATTAATAAACACCGCAGGGGTGGGGGTGGAGGAAGGAGGGCGGAGCTGTCCCCCAGCCTCCCCCACTCTTTTAAAACAGAATGCATAATGTACTCACCCGGACAAGTCGCGTGGGTCCCCGCATGTCGTCAAGAAATCTACGCACGCTCAAATCTATTTTTAGCCCAAGGGGGATGGCGATGCAGTTAAATTAGGAGACACTACAATAAAACGCTACTAAAATCATTATCTGTTGGGGGGTTGGGGTGTAAGTTCATATTAGAGTGGAGAGGGGGGTGTCTGATTCTATTTTAGAATGGTGAGGCTAAATTTAGTTCACAATGAGATTGTGTGTGTGTTTTGGGGAGGGGTGTTGGGTGGGGGGGGGGGGGAGTCTATTTTAGGCTTAAGTCGAGTATAAGTTTTTTATTAGCCAGTAATTATATGAATCATTAAATTGCATAGCTCGATCTTCGACGGTTGCAAGTAATCGGTACTTGATACTCTCTTTCTTTTTTTTTGTTGTCCACCAGGTTGTCATGGTAACGAGATTGTAATGACAAAGTAAAGGATGCTTCATTTTTATTTTTATTTTTTATCGAGAAAAATCCGAAAACAATTACAACAATGGATACTAGTACTGGTAGTCGAAGAGAAGATTATGAAGGGAAAAAAACATACGTTGATGGTACCCTACTGTTAACCTACAAGTAAGGCTATTATTTGAATGCGGGGCACCTATGGTTAGTTGGTTGATTCGGGTGACTTAAAATGAAAAAAAAAGTAGCAAATCATTGTTTTATATGTAAGAGATTTGTAAGCTTACTTATGTGTTTTGGTTTTGCGCTTTTCAATACTTATCATCTGCTTTAAAAAAATCATTAAAAAATTAAACCATTATTACTAAACATGGAACAGTACCTTGTT